TGTTGGTATTGGCTCTGGTAGCAGGCGAGTTCGGACATCTAGATACTTGAGACTAGCGCGCCAGATAATTCTAGATTGATTAGGTGTGCGCCCAGACTGGAAGTGCCTCGCAGGTCGAATGGCCAATCTGTCTTGGATGTGGAGTCGTGTCTCCTCGGTGTTCCAACGGGGCGCCGCCAGATGCATTGAACGGACGCGTTTTGCGCCCAGTCCGTCGTAGCTTCTCGCGCGGAGCGCCCGCTGTGGCGCAGTAGTGGTTCTGTGCAGAGCTCCATGATCACCTCGATGTCGCTGGCATGGACCCTTGGCCTCGCAAAAGGCCTCCATCTCCTCCATCTCCTCCTCCTCCTCCTCCTCCTCCTCCTCCTCCTCCTCCTCCATCTCCTCCTCCTCCTCCTCCCCCTCCTCCTCCTCCTCCTCCTCCTCCTCCTCCTCCTCCTCCTCCTCGGGTCGCCTGCGGCCTCGGGGGAAACCGTCAAACTGGCCGACACGAGCCCGTGAACGCCCAGTTTGACGGGACTTTCCAGACGTGAGAAGAGTCGTTTTCTTCTTTGTTTTAAGAATTTGGCCGTCAAGGGAGAGCCGTCAGGGTGTATGACAGGGGCCCGGTTGCGCCCATATTGTCAGAACCTTTCAGGCGGAGTGGCAGATTACATGTTTTTGTTCTGGTGGGGGACGGCGTTTTGCGGCTGTTCTTCTACGTGTTGAGGATCCCCCTGTGCATCAGCATATGGTAAACATGGCGCTTGGGTTCCCCAAGGGGGAGCCGCCAGACGACTATGGCACGAGCGCGTTCGTTCCCAGATTGTAAGATCCGCTCAGGCACAACGCGAGTTGTCTCTGTGTGTGAGAGAGGGGATGGCGGGTGGGCGGGTGGGTGGCGGTGGGTGGGCTAGGGGAGGGACGCAACTTCCTTCTCGTCCTACGGAAATTCCAGGAGGCCTCAGGAGGCTCCAGGAATATGCACAGTCATTCAGGATCCCCAGGAGAGTCCCAGAAAGGCGAGAGAGAAGCAAGGAGGGTCTAGGCAACCGCAGGATGCCCCAAGAAGCACCGGGAGGTTACAGGAAAGCCTACGGAAGCCCAGGTGGCCGAGGCCGAAGCAAGCCAGACCGCCTTCGCTCATCTTCAGACTCATTTATTGAATCGCTTCGCTCATTCCGCCGGCCCGTGATATGGCATCGCTGGTTTTTGTCTGTGTGTTCGTTGCCCATGTTGCGCTCTTGGGGGCGGGTGTCGTTCGGACGCGTTGCGTGGGGAGTTTTGATGGTGAAGCAGTTCCCTGGGGGTCGTCTCTCGATGGGGCGAAATAGAGTCGTCGTCAAGATGCTTCTTTGGGGGGCCTCTTGGGGTCTGTTGAGAGGCCGTTCGGGGGCGCCTGGGAGACATGTTTGAAGCCTTCTGGGGCTTCTTTTGGGCCTCCTGGGAGTCTCCTGGGGCCTCTTGGCGACATCTTGGGGCCTCTTGGAGGCCTCTTGGGGCCTCTTTGGGACCTCCTGGGCGCCTTCTGGGACGGAGGGCTCCATTTTTGAGTTCTCGGTATCCCTCCTGAGTCCCTCTTGGGCCCGTCTTGGGGCCTCTTGGTCCGTCTTGGGCGGCACTTGGGCCGTCTTGAGGGCTCTCTTGGGTCGTTTCGGCGCCGTCTTGGGAGCTTCGTGGGCCGTCTTGGAGCGGTCTTGGGGGCCTCTTGGGCCGTCTTGGAGCGTCCGGAAGCCGAAAAAGCCAGAACACAAAAAACATCGAAAAAACAAATGAAAATCAACGATTTTGGCCTCTTGGGGCTCTCTTCGGAGGCCTCTTGGAAGGCTCTTGGGGCGTCTTGGAGGCCTCTTGGGCTGTCTTGGGGGCCTTTTGGGCCGTCTTGGGGTCATCTTCGGCGTCTTCGAGCGCTCTTTGGGCGTCTCGGGGGCCTCTTGGGCAGTCTTGGGGGCCTCTTGGGGCACTCTGAGCGCGCTCTGGGGAGCCTGAGAGGCCGCACCCAGAAGGAAAACCATCTCTGAGTAGACTTGGTCGGGCGTTGGTCGGGGTACTTTTCGCCGGGGGACCCCCAGGGGCCGCCCCGCGCGCGCGAACTAGGAATACTGTTAATACTGTTAACCAGTTACCGGAGATCTTAGCACGCCCTGGCCCGTTGGGCCGGCGAATTTTTCATCGAGGTACCGCGGCGCCATGCTAGGCACACCGCGAGGGTCTCGAGGAAGCGTTGTGCCCCTCGAAGTGTCAATCAAGAAGTGTGGTCGGACAAGCCAATGGAGCGCAGCACTGCAGCTTCTCCGCCAAGGAATTCAGCTACGCGTGAACCTCGTCCCAGGCCACTACGTAGCGACTGTCAGCGCATGCAGAAAAGGCGGGCAATGGCAACGGGCACTGTTGGTGCTCAGCGAGTTGTGGGAGGAGGTGGAGCCCAACGTTGTCTCCTCTACAGTGCCAGCGCCAGCGCGTGCGGAATGTAACCCCAGTGGCTTGGGCCCCCCCCTCCCTCCCTGGGCGAGGGAGGGGCTTCCGAGCCTTCTGAGCAGGCCCGCCCCTGCTTCCCCCTCGCTCGCCGCCGACTGGAGGAGTCCTTGTCTGATGAGTGCGGCGGTGGTGTCCATGGCCGCCGCACGAGGGGAGTTCCACCGCCTGCCAGGCCTTGTGTTCCTGATCCAGTGGTTCCTCACCCAAAGCCCTCACCGTGGCACGGCCTGGCGGATTGGCCGCGTGTGTCCGTCCCAGGTGACGCCTCACACCTGTTCCTGCTGAGCTCAGCGCCGGCAAGTACGTTCGCGCTCCAGAGGTGAGAAACAATATGCCCTCACCCTCTTCATCGCTCTTCCGCTCCCCAGATCGCTCCATGAGTGGCCCACAAAGATCCCCGCCGAGCCTGAGAGGCTCAGGTGAGCCTCCTGGAGGGTCCCGGACGCTCCCAAGGGCTCCAGTAACCCCGAGATGTCCCCCAAGGCGGCCTCCAGACGGCTCCGCGATGGCCTAGGACCGTCGCAAGATGGCCCTTGGGACGGGGCTAGGACGAGGATAAATTCGTTCCAGAGCGTTCCGGAACGCTCTGAGAAGGCCGCGGCGCCCGAGACAGATCTCCAGAGCCGCCGGAGCTCAGAGATTCTCGATTTATCCTCACCCGATGTTATTCTCGCCCTGGCTTCGTCTTAACCCCAGAGCCCTCCCCAGATGGCTCAGGGGCCCCAGAGGCCTTCGCCAGGCTCCGCAAGACTCCGAGCTGCGGCTCCCAGACCCGCTGGAGAGCACCGCGCCGGACCCCAGGGCGGCTCCGAGGCGGCCCCGAGCCAGAGAGGCCCCTCGAGGGCCTCGAGAGGCTCTGCAGCGTGACCGCGCGGGAGGGAACGAAGGCTCCGAGCTCACCCACGTCGACGACGTGTCCAGGGCCACCCCGAGACACCTCCTCCGCAGGCGGGCGGATCTCTCCTTCGGGAGGGCGGCGTCAGGGCGCAGGAGCAGCGTGCGGGTGGGTTCCCCGGCAGCAGGCGGGCCACAGAACGAAGCCTTCCCAGGCTTCAGCGAGCGGCGCCACTGCAGTCGACCCGCACAGTGAGGATGAGCGACCTTCCAAGGCGACCCTTGCATCCTTGCCCCTTCGGCCCAGCTTTGGCCGCCTTCGCTGGCCGCGCCCCGCTCGCAGAGCGTCGACATGACCTCCCAAGGCCCTTGCATCCTTACCGTGCGTGCTGCATATACGGGTTGACTGCAGCGCCGAGTGATCAGGGAAGCATCTCCCATCCACCATCGCTTCGGGGGGCCTTCGTCCACGGAGGAGCCCCCGGAAGTCGCCGCGGCGCCGTCCTGAAGTGGGTTCCGCCGCTGGAGCCTCTGCTGCCGCACTCTGCGCCCCCCCCCCACTCAGAACAGCATGGCCTCAAGCGGCGCGGCCGATGTGCTCTTCCACGGGCCGCCGCCCTCCTCCCCCCTCCCTCCTCCACGGCGAGGCGCCCTCCATCTCTCTCTCGGCCCCGAGGAGGCGGGGCCCCCACCTATCTCGCACCGTGCAGCAGCATGCTGCATCGGCAGGCCACGGCGCTCGCCCACGGCATCGCCCCACCACCGCGCGTCTCCTCGGCATATCCCTTCCTTGCTCTCCCTGCCCGCTCCTCACCCCCGCTGTCGCCCAGCAAGTCCACGGCCAGGGACCTGCCTGCCGGAGAGCTGTGTGATCTAGCCTCGGGAGCCTTGAGACGGGGGTCAATGCAAACGGGGGTCAGCCAGGGCACCAGATCCTGCAGGATCCTGCGAAGACCCCCTCTGGCTGACCCGGGTTGGCGAGCCGCTCGTGGCCGCGAGGCGGCCGCGCATATTGGCTGACCCGGGTTTGCGAAGACCTGCGTTGCAGTTGCTTTTTCTTGCATTGCAGTTTTTGGCTTCCTGCTGACCCGGGTCTGGATTGACCCGGGTCAGAAGATCCCCGATAGCCGCCCGGCTGGCCAGGGGAGGCGACCTCGGGCTGCACAGCAGCAGGCGAGCGGCAGCCGCGCGCAGCGGGGGAAGCGTGCGCCGGCGGGCGGAGTCTCGAGACGCTCGCGTGCAGCAGGCTGCGTCAGCTTGCAGGGGTGCAGTACAAGGGTTTTGGTTTTCGGGGGCGACGGAGGGGCCTCGTAATGTGTCGAACGTTCCTTCTGGCAGCAGCGTGGCCGCACCGAGAAACAGCACCCTGCATCCTCAAGCAGCACTGCTCGCAGCAGCAGCAGCAGCACATGCGGCATGCAGCAAGTAGCACCAGCGGCAGCACACATCAACGGCACGCAGCACCAGCGTGCGGCAGGCAGCATGACCCTGTAGCCGCAGGGAACAACCGCAGAGGCGAAGTTTGGGCCCCATGCCGTCGCGTCATCATGACCGCCTTCCAGCAACATCTCCGCTCTGACCTAACGCGCCATCGCGGCCAGTTTTCGTGGTCGGCAGGCCACGGGTCACCACTGGTCAGTTACAGCGCTGGGATCAGCGCGTGCGAAAAGGGCGAGCAGTGGCAGCGGGCTCTGGCGCTGCTCAGCGAAATGTGGGAGGCGAAGCTGAGGCCCGACGCCATCTGCTACAACGCAGGGATCAGCGCGTGCGGGAAGGGAGAGCAGTGGCAACGGGCTTTCGCGCTGCTCAGCGAGATGTGGGAGTCGAAGCTGGAGACAGGCGTCATCTCTCCTACAATGCATGGACCCGCGCGTGCGAGAAGGTCCTCTGCCTCGAATGCCCCCCCAGGCCCTCAGGGGCCCCGCCCCCAGGGCAGGCCAGGAGGCTCCCAAGATAATTCAGAAGGGCTTCCAGGAGAGCCCCAAGAGGCCCAAACCGCCCCATTTCCCACGGGAAACGCAAGCTTTTTTACTATATCTTGTTTTTGTTCGTCCTCGCAGCGTCCAAGACGGCTATACAGGCTCCCCAGCTCGCCCCAAGACTCGCCCAGAGGCCCCCAGTAGCGCCCCAACACTGCCCCATACGGCCCCGGGACGGCATCAGAGGCGCCCGAGACGGCTCAAGACGCACCCAAGACAGCCCCAAGAGCAGTTCAGAATTGCCCAAGACGGCCCCAGCGCCCCGTTTCCAAGACGGCTGTACATGCCCCCACCGCCCCGTCTCCAAGCCTTTCCACCTGCACAGTCTCCAAGACGGCTGTACGTGTCCCCAGATCGCCCCGAGCCGCTCCCAGACGCCCCCGGGAGGACCCGAACGTTCACTGCCCGAGACGTCCCCAGGACGGCTCCAGAGGCGCCTGTGACGGCCCAAGAAACACCCAATACGGCCCGAAGAGCGCCCAATATCGGCCCAAGATGGCCCCAAAACGGCCCCAAGATTCCGAGAGGCGCCCGAGACTGCCCCACATAGCCCCTAAGACGGCCCAAGAGGCACTCAAGACGGCCCAAGAGGGCCCCGAGAGACCCCCAGTAGGACGAAAAGAGGCCCCTAAACGGCCCCCAGGAGGCCTTGGATCCTTCTCTTGGGGCGCGTCGAACTTCCAGCGTCGTTTTTGGGGGCTTCTTGGGCCCTCTGGGAGCCATCTCTGCGCCTTTCGGGGACGTCTTGGGGCGGTGCGCTCGGAAGGTCGATTTGTGTCCTCGCACTGGGGCCCGTCTTGGGGAGTTCGTGGGGCCCTCTGGGGCCGTCTGGGAAACTTTCTGGCCCGTCCTGGAGACCTTTGGGGCCGTCTCGCCGCCCTCTTGCGGGCCTCTTAGGCCGCCCCCACGGGCCCCATTGTCACCACACTACCAGATGAAGTTATCGTTCGGCCCCGGCGAAGAGCAGATCTAATTATCACGGCTACCCTCCCCGCAGAAGCTATGATGAGCACAGACCGTGAGAAACAGCTTCTGTCCACACCATGCCATGCCTACATGGGGTGCGCTTCCACTGATAGCGCCTCTACCACCGCGTTCCTGCCTTCAGGCCTGCTTGCCTGCGTCCCTGGCCCACCTCCCCCTCCAGCGGCCGCCTCCTCCATCCACGCCGTCCCCTCCGACCTCCCCTCACCTGCGAGGCCCCAGAGGCGCTCCACTTCCACGTCCACGCCATGGCGCGCAGAGTCCGCGGCCGGAATGCAGCAGGTCAGCCCTAATAGAGGATGACGATTGATAAATGACCGGGGGTCGTGTTCACGCGGCGGCGCCCGGGATGACGATTAGAAAAAATCGGCCGCGGGCTGGAAACAATATTTTTTAATCGTCCTCCTCCAGTCAGAAAACTGTTCAGAAATAGCAGAAAACTATTGTTTAATCGTTCTCTCCCATGTTTTTTATTAATCGTCATCCCGCATTAGTCTATATTCTAACGCCGGGGGAGCCGCGTGCCAGAATGGCGGGGGGCCCGGTGTGGCAAACCCGCCCTCGATCGGGTGGGCCCAGGCGGACCCCCGGGCGGCCCAAGAGGCCCCACGACGGCCCACGGGGAGCCCAAGAGGGCCCCAAGAGCGGCTCAAGACGGCCCAAGGCGGCCCCAAGGCAGCCCAAAAGGCGCCCACGTGGCCCCAAGACGTCCCCAGAGGCTTCCAAGACGGCCCACGAGGCCTCCAAGAGGATTCTAAAGAGGGCCCATAATATCAAAGATCGTCCCAATCCCATCGGAAAACGTACATTGTTGGCAGACTCGCTTTTTGGGTCGGCAGGGCGTCCAAGACGGCCGGATGAGCATCCAAGACCGCCCCAACTGTGCCCCAGGGGCACCCAAGAGAGCCCCAAGACGGCCCAAGAGGGCCCCAAGATGGCCCCAGAGAGCCCCAGGACCGCGCAAGACGGACCCCGGAGAGCACGAAAAGGCTTCCAAAAGATCCCCAGACGGCCCTGCGAGGGCCCCAAAACAGCCCGAGCCCTCCAAAACGGCCCAAGAGGGCCCCAGGACGGTTCCAGAGAGCTTTGAAGCGGCCAAAGAGAGCCCCAAACGGACCCCCTCCCCAGAGAGCCCCAAAAGGCGCCGAGGATGCTCCGAAGAGCGCCCAAGAGGGTCCAGACGCCCCGACAAGGCTCCTAACGCGCGGCCCAAATACTCCAAATGGACAGTTACTCTGGCCTCCGATCGTTGGGCTTCCCGTGAACCGGGCGCCTGAGCGGCCCCAGTGCGGAGACGACGGCACGGACGGGAACGTTGCGATGGCGACCACTCCGCGCCATCAAGACGTCGTGGGCCGCGACGTCCGCCATCCCAACGGTGCAGTGCGCCTCGCACGTGCAGGAGCCGCATTTTTTTGGACCTGCATCGCCTCTCTTGTTTCCCCTCCACGTCCCCTTCTCTTCTCTCCTCTATATCCTACACTGCAGCGTTCACCGCTCCCCGCATTGGCGAGCAGTGGCAGCGAGCCGGCTCCCGAGAGCCCCTAGAGAGTGTTCTCCAGAGTCTCCCGAGGCGTCCAGCAGGCTCCTACAAGAACCGGCACGAGTCCCGAGAACCACCCCTAAAAGGTCCCCACAAAAGCTCCCCGAGGGGCCCGCGCAAAAAATCAGAATCGCAACAGGCGTTTGGAGGCCCGACGTCCAGCCGGAAGGGAATTCGAAGAGGCCGCGACAACCGTTGAAGGTTCTAAATCCAGGGTCGTCGTCGTCGTCGTCGTCGTCGTCAACGTCGTTGTCGTCGTCGTCGTCGTCGTCGTCGTCGTCGTCGTCGTCGTCGTCGTCGTCGTCGCCCGAGAGCCACCCAAGAGGTCCCGCTAGCCCCTAGAGTGTCCCCCAGAGTCTCCCGAGGCCTCCAAGCTCCCACGAGAACCGACACGAGCCCTGAGAACCACCCAAGAGGTCCCCCAAAGCTCCCCAAGGGACCCGCACGCAATCAGAATCGTAACAGGCGTTTGAAGGCCAGACGTCTGGCCGGAAGGAAATCCGAAGAGACCACGACACTCGCTGAAGGGTCGAATTCCGAGGTCGTCGTCGTTGTCGTCGTAGTCGTCGTCGTTGTTGCCCGAGAACCACCCAAGAGGTCCCCAAAAGCTCCCCAACGGACCCGCACGCAATCAGAATCGTAACAGGCGTTTGAAGGCCCGACGTCCGGCCGGAAGGGAATTCGAAGAGGCCGCGACAACCGTTGAAGGATCTAAATCCGAGGTCGTCGTCGTCGTCGTCGTCGCCGGAGAGCCACCCAAGAGGTCCCCAAATGCTTCCCTAGCCCAAGGGGTCCCGATAGCCCCTCGAGTGTCCCCCAAAGTCTCCCGAGGCCTACAGCAAGCTCCCGCGAGAACCGACACGAGTCCCGTGAACCACCCAAGAGGTCCCGAAAAACTTCCCAAGGTACCCGCACACAATCAGAATCGCAACAGGCGTTTGAAGGCCAAACGTCCAGCCGGAAGGAAATTCAAAGAGACCACGACAGCCGCTGAAGGGTCTAAATCGTCGTCGTCGTCGCCCAAGAACCACCCAAGAGGTCCCCAAAAGCTCCCCTAGGGGCCCGCACACAACCAAGTGGATTCCAAGAGAGCCCAAAAGCGAGTGGAGTGACGCCAACTGCTTGCGGAGGCACGCCCTACAGCACTGCCCCCAACGCCGATCGCGGTGATCACACTTCAGGTACACACTATTTCTCCTACAATGGCTGGCCCAGCGCTCGCGGAGGTGCCGATCGGTGGCAGTACCGGCCCCCTCCGGCGGCCCCTGCGAGCCCCAACAGGCCTCGGCGCGCTTCCAAGATGGCCTGAGAGCGTTCCGAGACGCACCAGGAGGTCCCCAAAAGAGCCCCCAGACGGCCGAAGACGGTCCAAGAGGGTCTCCGAGACGCGCCCAGAGCGCTCTCAGAACGCCTCAGACAGCCTCCAGACGGCCCGAGAGGCTTCCGAAACGCTCCAAGTGGGCTCCGCGAGCTCCAGGAGAGCCCGAACACTTAAAACGACGCGAAGATCGGGACAAAATCGGATCGGGATAACTCGAAATCTCTGAGAATCGGCGGGTTTGGAGGATGTATTGGGCGCCGCGGCCGCTCCAGAGCGTTCTGGAACGCTCTGAGAGCGCTCCGCAACGCTCTGGAGCGATTTATCCCGATCCTAGCCTTGTTTAGAACACTGAAAACTCTTCCTACTCCCTTGGGGAACCGTGCGTTTTCGCAGTTCCCGGGCCCAAGATGGTCCCAGGACGGCTATTAGGGCCGCCCCGGAGGCCCCGCGCCGTCCCGGGACGCGCCGGGCGGGGTCTTGTTCGCCCCGGCCGACCCTGGAAGCGCGCGCGCGGCCGCCCAGGGCGCGCTGGGCGGGATTCTCGGGGGCGGAAAAGAGGGGGGTGATGACTAGGGGGGGGTGCATATCATGGCGGGGGCATGATATCTCCCCAGATCTCATGGCGCCCCTTCTTATTTCATTACGTCCCAGGCCCCCCCCCCTGGGCCGCGCACATGCCGCCGGTCATGATTTGCACGCCCCCTCTTGGACACCCCCCTCATGGCCGCTCCCGAGATTCTGGGCCCAGAATCGGCCCCGCCGATTCTGAGCTGGCGGGCCGGTGGCCCAGAAAAACGGGCAGGCCCGCCCCGGAGGAGCGAGACCTGGCCCGGGGCGCGTTAACGGGCGGGAGTCATTTGGGCGGGCGGCGCGGCGGCCCAGAAGTGGTCCTGCCGATGCTGGGCTGGCGGCGTGGCGGCCCAGAAGCGGCCCCGCCGATTCTATAGGCTGGCGGGGGTCGGGGGCCCAAAATTCAGGCCCCCAGAGACCAGGACACAGACAAACCAGGACACGGAAAACCAAAGAAACGACATCCTTTCCTGCAACGTCACGTTTTTCAGCACCCTTGCAGCACGTGCATGTTTTGTTTGTTGCATTGCAGGATTCGGGTTTGTGTCCGGGTTTAGGAGGGTCTTGCAGACTTTTGGGGCCCGTGTCTGGGTTTATTCTGGAAGTGCTGCAGTGCAGTATTTTGTTCGCGCTTCCGTTTGGAAAAATTGGTTTCGAGGGATGTTGGGTGTCGGGGTCTAGCGTGTCCGGGTCTACGGGGGCTCTGGGACGGCGGGCCGGGGGGCGACTGGAATCGGGTTGGCTGGCTCCGCAGGCTCGAGAGGCAGCCCCGGGCGCACCGGGCGGGGTTGTTGGCTGGCAGCGCGGCGGCCCAGAGTCGGCACCGCCGATTCTGGGCCGGCGGGCCGGTCGCCCTGAATCGGGCCAGCCTAGCCTTGCAGCCCGTGGTCGCCGCCGCCGCCGCCGCCGTCGTCGTCGTCGATCGCTTCGTCGTCGTCGTCGTCGTCGTCGTCGTCGTCGTCGTCGTCGTCGTCGTCGTCGTGAGACCTCCAGGAGCCCACAAGACACTTCCACATGACACCATCTATCCTGATCGCATGGCGGCCGCACCCGTTCACCGCGCAAGTGGACGTAGTCCACGGGTCAGCCCTAGTCTCTACTACATTGCAGGCATACGCGCGTCTAGCTGAGAGGGGCGGGGGTCGGGGGGCTCCTCCGACGCCCCGGCCCCGGGCGGCGCGGTTTAAAGACGGCCCTGGCGGCTTCGGAGAGGCTCCGGAGGCCCCAAGAGGCCTCCAAGACAGCTCAAGGAGCCCCCGAGACACCCAAAGAGCGCTCCAAGAGGCCGCCCAGACGGCACAAGAGGCCTACAAGCGTATTCCCCGGAGGCCCCGAGCGGCCAAAATCATCCACTTTACGACGGTTTTGGAAGCATTTTGGCCTTCTCGCCTTTTCCGCTTTCCGACGCTCGAAGACGGCCCAAGAGGCCTCCAAGAGCGCCCCAGAACGGCCCAAGAGGCCTCCAAGAGCGCACCAAGACAGCCCAAGAGGGCCCCAAGACGACCCAAGAGACGCTCAAGACGGCCCACGACGGCCCGAAGACAGGCCCAAGAGGGGGCCAAGATGGGGACCACGGACCGAAAATCCGAGCCTTCCGCCCCAAGAGGGCGCCAGGAGGCCCAAACAGGCCCACAAGAAGCCCCAAGGGGCCGCCAAGAATCCCCCGAAGAGGCCCCAGGAGGCTCCCAAGGAGCCCAAACGAGGCCCCAACAGAGGCCCCAACAGCCTCCAACATGGCCCCACAGAGGCCTCGATCCCGCCTCCGAGCTTCCTCGCCGCGAGGGTGCCAACACGGCCCCAGACGGGCCCAGGACGGCCCAAGGTGCGCCCAAGACGGCCCAAGACGACTCCAAGACGGTCCCAGGAGGGCGGGCCCAGGACGGCCCAAACGCGCCCGGTCGGCGCCTCAAGACGGGCCAAGATGGCAAGAGAGCCCCAGCTGGCAAAAATCGTTAATTTTCCATTGTTTACTGTTACACCCTTTTTGCGTTTCCCGCCATTTCGGCGGTCCGATGCACCAAGAGGCCCCAGAAAGTGGGTCCGAGGAAACGCCCAGGAAGACCCCAAGACGGGCCAAGACGGACCCAGCACAACCCAAGGCGCGCTGCGACGGCTCAAGACGGCTCCAAGACAGCCCCAAGAGGGTGCCAACACGGCCCCTGCTGGGCCCAGGACGGCCCAAGGAGGCGCACAGGAGGGGCCCAAGACGACTCCAAGGCGGCCCCCTCACGGTCCCAGACGGCTCCAAGACAGCCCCACGATAGTGCCAAAAAGGACCCCGATGGGCCCAGGACGGCCTACGGACGCGCCCATGAGAGGCCCACGACGAACCAAGACGGCCCCATCACGGCAAACGGCGCCCTCAAGACGGGCCTAGACGGCTCCAAGACGGCCCTTTGAGGGAGCCAACACGGCCCCACACCCTTCGGGCGAACACTCGGGGGGGCTGGGAGCTTGCGACAAGTCTCCCACATTCATTGTCCTGCCCCATTCTGTTCGCCTGGAGGCCTCCTCCAACCCTGTCGGCGAACAAGAGGAAACCCAGCGGGCCGCCAACCCTGGGGCCCGTGGGCCCCGCGCCGCTTGAGCAGAAGACGAACGTCGGGTCTGACAGGCCAGCTACCGCCCCCCTTTGCCCCATATGCTGTGCCATTATGTTCCCCCAGGGGCCTTGGCTAACTCTTCGGGCCAGCCAGACCGGACCCCTGGGACAACAGCCAATTGATATGACCCAGGGACCTCTCCGCTTTCTTCGGACGAGCACCTGGAGGGCCCAGGAGATTCGGACAAGTCTTCCCCATTCCTTGCCCTGTCCCGCTCTGTTCGCCCGAAGGCCTCCACAGACCCTCTGGGCGAACAGAATGGGACATGGCGAACAAACCCTCCCGTCGGCGGTGATGCGACTGGATCGCACCATCAAGGCGTGCCCGGAGGTGATGGCCGACCCAACTGCGGTTTCTCTAAAGATTTTACAGAGTTTCGAATTTTCTTGAAGCTCTCTTGGGCCCCCCCTGTAGATCCTTGCGAGCCTCCCCGTCGCTTTCGGTGGCTTTCCCCGATGGCCTCCCGAGCCCTTCCCCGGGCGCCCCTGAAACGCCTCAGATGGGTTTCGACTTCGACGCACATCCCCGAGAGACTTCGAAACTGCCCTCAATAGGAGGGGGGTGAACGAGCAGTGCGCTGGGCCAAGCTGCTGGAGCGCTGCAAGAGCTCGGACACGAAGGCGCGGTCTCGCTGCCGCCGCCCGAGCCGCCGCCGTGTTTGTAGATTTTCGGTACCATCTGCGCCGTTCCTCCGAGAACCATTCCAGAAAGATGTGGACGGAGTCCACGGGTCAGCCTTAGTCAGCTACAGCGCTGGGATCAGCGCGTGCGAGAAGGGCGAGCAGTGGCAGATGGGTTTGGCGCTTCTCAGCAAGATGCGGGAGGCGAAGTTGGAGCCCAACGTCATGTTTACTGAATTGCAGGTCCCTGCGCGTGCAAGAGGGGTCCTGTCACCAGTATGAGTTAAAATCGGCTTGGCAGGCCCTGGCGCTCTCGGGTGCCTCCAGGGCGCTCGAAGGCGGCCCAAGAGGGCCTCAATAAAGGGCACAGACGCAGCGAGAGTTGCACCAGACCGCCCAAGAGTGGATCCCAGAAGGCCCCAAAGAGCTCTGAGATCGCCCCGATGCGGGCCGAGATGGCCCCCCGACGGCCCCACCCTAGGGCCTACCAGAGCGCTCCGAGACGGCTCCAATGGGACCCCCAAGAGAGCCTCTCGCACCAGGACCAATGATGTTCCACGCGTTCCTCCAACAGCTCTGAGCACTCGCTTCTGCGGCCCGCGCGACGGTGCCAGCCGGCTCCCCGGCATCGCCCCGCGAGCGCCCGCGTCGCCCTCGAGAGGGCCCCGGGACTGCCCAGCGGGGCTGCGGGACGGCCCAGCGAGGTTCCAGGGCGGCCCACGAGGCCGAAGAGGCCCCCAGGACGGGCCTTTCGCGGCCCCAGGAGCGCGCCAAGACGGCCCCAAGGCCCCGGCCGTCCCAGGATTCCCACTGGCTCCGAGGGCTGCCCAAATGGCTCCAGGAGACTTGGGAGGGGTCGATGGGATCCCAGGAAGCCCGAAGTCCCTGAGAAGGCACCACAGGAGACCCCGAGGTACATCCCGAGATGCCTCCCCTCATGCGGCCCCTAGGGGCCCCCAAGACGTGCCTGGCCCCCTTCGCCTTCACCCTCCTCAGCTCTCCCTCCTCCCTTCTCGCCCCTCTCTCCTCGCTGATCGCCCCTCGCTCCTCGCTCCTCGCTCCCTCCCCCTCCCTCCTCGATCTCCCCGACCCTGACTCCTCGATGCCCTTCCGGCAACAGGTCGCGCCCGCAAGCTGCTGCAGCGAGAAGCAGCGCCCTGTCAGCATCCAGCAGCACGAACGGCAGCAGCGCGCGCAGCACGAGGCAGCAGGCGGCAGCGGCAGCACACGGCAATAGCGCGCAGCAACTCCCAGGTCACCCGCGGGGCGCGAAGGTCGCGCTTCGCTCGGCGCGGTCTGGTTCAGGGCGGCTGCCCTTCTCCCAAGGCGGGACAATAACCACGCATCGCGAGGCGTGATGCGCGAAGTTAGGGGACCCAGAGCGCGCACCAAGCACACTGGTTGTCCGCAGCACCCTGCAGCCACGACCAGCAACAGCACGCAGCGGCGGCAAGTATCACCAACAGCACACAACAGCGGCAGAGAGCAGCGGCACGCAGTGGCATGCGCGAAGTGCGCGAAGTTCGAGCCATACATTTATCCTTTCAGCCTTTTCGGCCCACCATCACATGCCAGCTCCTGCAGATGTCGTGGACGTGCTCCAGGGTCCAGCCCTGCTCTATTCTTTCTGCTGAGGTTAGCGCGTGCGAGATTGCGCTGCCGTAGTTAGCTCGGCCCGATGCGGCTCCCAGCGCTTGGGCTGTCCTGGACGCCCTGGACGGCCGCCAGAAGGCTCCAAGAAGTCCAACGACGGCTCAGACACGCTCTGGAGAGCGCCCGGAAGGCACCAGAGTACCCGACGCGAGCCTCCAAATTGTTCAAGATTGCCTCAAGACGCGCCAGGGGGCCTCCCACGACGGCCCAGGAGGACCCCGATGCCCTCCCCACAAGGCCAAAATTGTGTGTGCGTGTTGCTTAAGGTTTTCAGCGGCTTTACGGGTTCGCCAGTTTCTTCCGCCAAGAACGGTCCCAAGCGGCCCCCAGCGCCTCCTACACCGCGCCAACGCTGCCCAAGATACTCCCAGGGGAGGCCTTCGATAGCCCCAAAGGCCCCCCAGATGACCTCATAGCGCCCGACGACGGTCCCAAAGCGCGCCAAGTTCCTTCCAATATGGCCCCAATAAGGTTCCCGCAGAGAGCCTTCAGAGCCCCACGGACGCCCCAACGCGATTCTACAAGAAGCTTCCCAGGCTGTCCCCCAGAGGAGGGGGACAGCTCGGGAACGGCTCCAGAGGCACACAAAATACAGCAAGAGGCCTCCAAGACGCCCCAGACAGGCTCGCAGGAGAACCCCACATGCCCCTAGATAGGGCCCCAGAGGCACCCAAGCTCATCAACTTCGAAGAGCTGTCCACCGACGGTGTGCGAGTTCTCGGTTCAGCATGCCGTGGATTTCATCCACGGGTTTACATTAGTCAGCTGCAACGCTGGGATCAGCGCGTGCGAGAAGGGCGGCCAGTGGCAGCGTGGTTTGGCGCTGCTCAGCGAGATGCGCGGGGCGAAGTTGGAACCCAGCGTCATCAGCTATAACGCTGGGATCAGCGCGTGCGTGAAAGGCGATCAGTGGCAGCGGGCGCTGGCGCTTTTCAGCGAGATGCCAGAGGCAAAGCTGAAGCCCACTGTCGTCAGCTACCACGCCGGGATCAGCGCGTGCGGCAATGGCGAGCAGTGGCAGCGGGCTCTAGCACTGCTCGGCGAGATGTGGGGTGCGAGGTTGGAGCCCAGCGCCATCACCTACAACATGGGGATCAGCGCGTGCGAGAAGGGTGAGCAGTGGCAGCAGGCTGTGGGCCTTCTCAGCGAGATGCGGGAGGCAACGCTGAAGCCCGACGTCATCTGTACTTCGAGTAGGACATCGACTACAAAGTCGATTGACTCAAAATTTGAATTGTTCATCGAATGTGCAATAATCATGTGTAGAATGTTCGTAAATCTACGCGACAATCATCGCTTGTTTTTTCCACAGATTCGACGAACAAATACATTCTGGGGAAACGGCTCGACGACGGGCCAGGTGTCTCGGAAAGCGGCTGCACCAGACTCCGATGACGGTGTCCAAAGGCCCAAATCATGTATGTTTCTTGTTTTTGAAGGTATTCCAGGTTCGTGCCATTTCGGGCCAGGGAAACGGCTCCAGGGCCTTCACAGATCGCCCCAAGACGGTCCAGGAGGCCGTGCTAAGTGCCCCACGACGGCTCCGGAGGTCCCGAAAGCTGCCCAGGAGAAGCCCAAGATAGCCTCATAGAGTCCTTGGTGGCCCCCGAGACAGCCGCAAGAGGGCCCCAGGAGCTGCCCAACAGGCACCAAAGCGAGCTCCAAGACCGCTAGAGATCCCCTGTATAGCCCCAGGACGGCCCAAAAGTTCCCGAAACGGCCCAGGAAAGCTCTGAGATGAGCCTAGAGGGCCCCTAGAGGCTCCAGAGAGATAGACGACACCCTTCCCCCAGCCCCCCACTGGGCCAGGAACCCTCCAAGGACCACTCCCACATGCCTCAGAGTCTCCTCTTCCAAGCGACTCCGATGGTTCCGAAGGAGCTCCCAAGGAGAGAGCCTCGAGCCACGGCACACCGTCTCTCGAACCCCAAACGCCTCCAAGAAAGCCCCAGACCCCCAAGGCAAGCCCTAGACCACTCCGAGATGCCCCAGAGCCTACCACGAGATTTCGCTAGCCCCCACAGAGCTTCCAAGAGCGGTCCCAGGGCCACTCCGAGACGCCCCAGAGTCGCCCATAAGACTCCGACGCTTGCCAAGAGACTTCGACAGTTCCCACGGAGTTCCCAAGAGCAGTCCCAGGAAGAGACTCATAATCCCACGGAGTTCCCAAGAGCGATCCCAGGACCACTCTGGGATGGCCCAGAATCGCTCCCAAGGCTTCTCCCCCTACGGTCGATTAGGGGTGACAGACGGGACTTTCTTCTCTGATCTCGTCCTCCTTCCCTCATCGCGGCTCCGGCCACTCTGGGGCTTTCGCATCCACTCCGCCTGTTAGGGGTGACAGGGGGGACTTGCCGTCACTTCGGCCGCTCCTCCTCTACGGTCCAATACGGGTGACAGGGCGGGGGGTCCGCAGACACTGCGGGGACCAGCATCTCGCTCCCCCTCTGGCCGAGTAGAGCCCTCGGTGACCCCCAAGACAGCCCCCAAAGCACGAGATCCCTCCCTGGACCCCTCCGAGATGGCGCAGACCCCCCCATGATATTTGAATACGGCATCAAGCCCCAGCTCCCAGAGCCTGCAGCAAACCCTGGAGCTAACCTCAAGGGTGACAGGGGGGACCATCTGACAGCAACCTCACAGCACGTGCGCACATTCAGTTTCCCAGGCTGTCCCCCAGAAGAGACTCTGGGGGACAGCCTGGAGACGGCCCGGGAGGCGCCCCAAAACCGATAGAGGCCTTCAAGATGCACCCGGCAGGCTCGCAGGAGGACCCAACATGCCCCCGACACGGCCGCAGGGACGCCCGAGCTGTTCAACTTCGACGAGCTTTTCACCCACAGTGTGCGAGCCCCAGGTTCAGCACACCGTGGATGTGACCCACGGGTTCGCACGAGTCAGCTACAACGCCTGCATCAGTGCGTGCGGGAAGGGCGATCAGTGGCAGCGGGCCTTGGCGCTGCTCAGCGAGACGAGGGAGGCGAAGCTGAAGCCCGACGTCACATCTGCTACAGTCGGGGCGCTGAAGAAGGAACCCTTTTCGTTGGGGAGGGGCTCGGTGTTCCTTGATTGTTTCACAGCTTGCCTCAGGTGTTCCTTATGTTTTCGATGGGAAATCGAAGTTTCACTTGTGGAAAAAAGGGGGCTCGTTCCTTATTTAGGGTTCCTTAGGTCAACGCCCCGACTGTACAAGACCGGGCTCCGCGCATGCCAGAGTGGCCCAGCAGGGCCAGCCCCTCCCGCGGCGCCCTCGCGGCTTCGCGCGCGGGGCGGCGAGGTCCTGCCCCGAGAGCCCCGCGAGTCTTCGGAAGGGCCCCCAGAGAGCCCTCCGTGCTTGGCATCGCTCGGACGTGTGCGTTTTTCCTTCGGCGAGGACCACCGAGGAGCATCCTTGATCATTTGGCCAAAAACCACGCACGAAACCAAAAAAAACACAGGAAATGGACGTCCAAGCGATGGCCAGCGTGGCGCTCAGGGAGGCTCCAGACGGCGCAAGAGGGCCCCCAGACGGCCCAAAGGGATCCCCACAGGGCTCCACAAGGCTCCAGGAGGGTCCCCCGGGGGGGCCGCAAGGACGAACACACACTCACAGTCATGCCATACGCCGGAGCGCGTGGGCGAAAGAGGACAATGCCAGCCAGCTATCGCCGCTTAGCGGGAGTGGCGGCGCGTCGGCGGTCGCATAATTTACAACGTGCCCGGCGGGGGGGAGGAGGAGGGGAAAGAAGAGGAGGGGAAGGGGGGGGGGAGCGAGGAACAGAGCAACAACTCACAGATGCCCGTCTGCATCCCATTGCACAGGGTCATGTATGCACTGTAGGTGCAGATCGTGCGAATTGAAACTGGACGAGATCATTATTTGCAGCTCCTTTGCCCATTCTCTCTTCGGTCGACCACGCTTGCGTTTGAGCGCGGCCGTGGCTGGGAGACTGTGTCGTCAGGCTGGAACGTGGCTTGTCTAAGAAAGTCGTGGTTCGACGCCCTAACTATTTTTTCAAAGAGCGCGAGCTGTTGTCGCAGAAGCTGGGTGCTGTATGGGGCCTGCTGGGCCTCCTGCAGGACGACCTTTTTTGACACGCGTGACAGGAAAGGAGGAGGAATGTGTAAAATTCGTCTGAGGCACTTGGCTTGGAATCCATCCAGCCTCCTTCTTTCGGATTGGTTCAGCCAAGCAGTGGAAAGTGAATACAAGACCTTGCTTGTAATCAGAGCTTGCAACATTTCGATGTTTCTGCTCTTGCCGACGGTTGTGTGCTTCCAGGCTCGTTCGTGTTTGACGAACTCGGCCCATGCAGCCCCTAGCCGCTTGTTAAACTCTTTCGAAACGCAACCTGAGCTGTACAAGGCGGCTCCTAGGTATGACAAGTGGTCTCGGGCAAGGATCAGGCGGCCTTCGGGAGTTCGCAAGTGAACGTCGCATCCGATCTGGATCAATTGGAATTTGTCCCAATGTAGCTCCATCCCGGCTCGTGCCCCAGACCACGCTACAGCATCCAACAATTCTTGTAAGTACTGTTGAGATCTACCTATTAATAGGGTGTCGCCGGCGTACACTAAGATAGACAAATTGCAAATTTCCATGTCTGCTCTCGCTTCCTGCCCCAGCTTGTCCGTCGCATCCCTCATCAGTATTGTCATGACCATCACAAAAAGAAATGGGGAGAGAGGGCAACCTTGAGCTATTCCTGATCGTTGTCGTCGTCGTGTGGACGCCCGGGAACCATCAGATACGTAGAAGTGGCGATTGTCGTAAATGTTGGCGATGAGTACAAGCATTTTTGGAGGAACTCCGTACCTCCGCAAGGTGGCAATCATCGCGTCCGTGTCGATCGTGTCGAACGTTTTCTTCCAGTCCAGTGCGACGAACGCAATCCTCCCATCTTTTGGCCGCCCAGGCCGCCTCGATTGCCCTTCGAACCATATGAATCCCATCTGATGTGCCTCGTCCACGTCTGAATCCGCACTGCGTTGAAGTAAGACGGTCCTCCGCACCTGCTCGTCGGAGCTGTTGCAACAATAGGGATGCCAATAGCTTGTAAAGCTACACATAATAAACGTATCGGCCAGTAGTTGTCGCAATTGTCGATCGCGCACTTGTTCTTGTAGATGGCGCTGATTTGGGACTCCTTCCAGTTCTCTGGTACCGTGCCTGTTTCCCAACAGGCGTTACACAGATTTGTGAGCCACTGCAACCCCCCTGGCGTCTGAGCAATGGATTTCCAATATTCTGCAGGGATGTCGTCTGGACCACTTGCTTTCTCCCACTTCAGCGCGTACACTGTCTTACCAACCTCTGGTGTTGAAAAAGGCGCTTCGTCCACCGGCAGTTGGTCTCTAAGTGGGGGCTCGTCGGTTAGTGTCGCTGGTCTGACTTTCCACTGAACATTCTCGAAAAAATCAGCCATTGCGTCAGCCCGGTCAGTGCTCTCAACAAGTACCCCGTCCAGATGTTTGAGCCGCCCTTGTTTCCAGGGCTTCGGTTTGCAATGCTTTCGCAATGCGTCCCAGCTGCCAGTAGCGATGGAAGAATCAACCCAGTGTGTTTTGTCTTCTTTAGTTGATTTTCTCACCTCCTTCAAAAGACGATTCTCTTCCATCCGATTTCGATATTATCTACGGTAGATTCGTGTGGTGTCGACTGGCAGCGACCCTGCCGCCAGCGTTCAACGTTGAATGCTGCCAGCGACTGAGAATCGGTCGATGTTGAACGACCTGACGTTTCGGGAGAGGCCGAGCGTTCAAGGTCGAACGATCCCCACGGTGTCGGAAACAAGCGCCGAAGTTGGCACGACACGAGCTTGCCGTACGTTTTTTGTTTCCCCCAAGGGGGATACGAGACAGGGAGGGGGCGGGGGGGGGGGGGCGGGGGGCGGGGAGAGCGGGAAGGGGGATACATGCACATCTATGTTTACATACACATGTATACACAGATCTATATATATATATATATATACACCTAATATGTATGTGTATATATATATAGATATATACAAGACTGCAGTGGCGCTTCGCGCCATGCACCTTGGTCCTTGAAGTTTGGTATGCAGGCGGAATAGCAGGAAGGTCAAGCCGACAATTTAGAGATAACTCCTTGTTGCCTTTTCCGGCATCGCCGCTATAATAATGTTATTCGTTATCCTTCCTCCATGCTTCTTTTTCTTGATTTTCGCCGTACCCTACGCATTCTCCCCATCCTCCTCAGCTCTTTTTTGCGGAGGCCCCTCCTTGGAAAGCCTCTGGGGGCCTCACAAAAGTTGTTTCAGGCTTTCTTAAGGCCTTCTGGAGGCCTCCTGGGCGTATTCTGGGGGCCTCTGGGGGCTTCCTCGGGCCACCCTGCCTCCAACCGCGGTCTCCCTGAACGACCGGGTCACGATTTGGAATGTTTCGGAGGGTGTCGTGGGGCCATCTTGGGCAGAAATGGGGCTCTCTGAGGGCCATCTTGGACACGTGTTGTGCCGTTTTGGGGCTCTCGTGGACTGCCTGGAAGCCCTTTCGGATGGTTGTGGGGCGATGTTGGAGCCTCCCAGGCGGCTTCGGACGCCCAGAAGACCGCCGTCTTGGAGCGTCGGGAAGCCGAAAAGAGGATAACCTCCAAATTCATCAAAAACCAACAGAAAATCACAGATTTGTGCCTCTTGGGGCCGTCTTGGGAGTGCTCTTGGAGGCTTCTTTGGGGCCGTCCTGGAGGCCTTATGGGCCATCTTGAGGTCACGTCGGTTTCTCTTGGCGCGCTCTTGTGCTGTCTTGGGGGTCTCTGGGACGTCTCCGATGACCCCCCTGATCGCCCTAGGTGTGCTGGGAAGGCTTGGCAAAACGCCCTGCGAGGCCCAGGGGGCCGCTTCGAGGACCGTCCGGAGGGTCCCAAAGCCTCAGTTTTTTTTGGGGGGGGGGACGGGTTTTCCTCCCGCCCGGGCTTGTAAAAATATAAGAAGAGGAAACTGTGTGTGTATATATTCACATATATATATATATATATATATATATATATATATATATAGTAATCTGTAGATGTGGTTTCTCCCAGTCCCTGTGTAGCATACCGGTCTACATCATGTTGCTGTTACTGCAACTGTGATGGCTCAAGTTCTGATGTGGGGGTGGGCGCCAGTCGTCCTCGCGGCCGCCAGGGACCTCACCACCCTTGGCCTTCATTACCAGACCGCGGCGATCGCCGCCCAGTGTCCGAGCCTTCCTGCGATCCCTGCGTGCCCCGAGCTGGTGTGCTCGTCGGGGCCTCCGCTCCCGGCCTGCCCGGCCGCGCACTGTGAGTGCACGTGCCCCAAGCCCGAGGCTGGCAGCTGGCTGCTGCTGCTGGGCGCGGGCGTGGCCACGGGGTGCGCGCTGGCGGGCCTGGTGCTCGGGGCTGCCGTCGGACTGTACGTTGGCCGACTCGCGGCTCGCGGGTCGAGTGCATCTGTGTGTTCACCCGGGGCTCTGCGTGACGCTCACGTGGTGGAGCCTGCCGCGGGACCAGAGACAGCGAGGGCGCTGGTGGTGACGCCAGCATCGAGGAGAGATGGCGGCCAGGCCGCGCTCGCTTGACATACGGGAGCCGCAGATCGTCGTGAATTTCCCTCTGGATGCTTTGCCGTGGCATCATCGGATTCTTCTGCACGCCATGGGCGACGGGCGCTGGATGTGCTTGACGCCAGATATGGAGATCACGCAGCACAACTTGAACGAGCTGCGCCACTATGTCCTCGATCGGAATGCGCAGTTTCCTCGGTGGGTGTTGGCTGGGCTCTATGCTTTCGACCCCATCGACCACGGGGAGCTGCTTGAGCTGAAGCGCCAAGCCCGGCAGCGCGCGGCGCTGCTGGGGGCTGGCGACGCCGAGGATGAGGCGGCGAGCCGCGGGACGCGAGGTTCGGCGAGGTGGTGCCTGCTGACGTGGTGGAGGACCCGAATCGTTGTGCCCATCTGCGAAGGAAGGGCATCGTGATGCTGGACGGGCAGGAGCGGATGATCGAGCTGATCACCCGCGACGAGAGGGATGACTGGAATGAA